CTTTAATTAGAGACTCAAAGATGATTAACTTAGTACAAAAAAAAGTTTTCTTTGGACAATCACTAGAAAATTTTTACTTTCGCACCTATAGTAATTTATATATAGAACCACGTCACGTTTTACTATAATCATTCTTCAGTTGACTGGAGAATCGTCAATTACAAGATAATATAAATTTAAAACCCATAAATTTTAAATGCAATTGTCCAGACTATAAATTCTGTGGAATAGGATGCAAGTACATATTTTGTGTATGCCAAAAGTTCTACTCGGCACCAGTACCTGAAGTTATATTCAAAAAATAGAAGAGCCCAAGCAAGTTGATAATGTGTCTTTTGAAGAGTGGGTTAATGCAATTTGAAAAGTTTGGAATCGCCACAGGCAAGAAGAAAGAAATTTAATTAATGCTGCCGATTTTGAATCAATTGTAAGTATAGGAATAAAAAAAAAATATAAAATTCCTTTATATGATAATTGTCCTATTTCCGAATCTGAGTTAAAAGGCACTAATTATAACATAATAAAACAACTAAACCCTAAGTAATAAATTAATATAATACAGTAATATAGATAGCTCAATAAATAATTTTTTTCTTCTTTTGCATGTGATATAAAGTTTAAATTATAATAAAATTCATAGATATTAAAGTGTAATACTTAACTTTTTATAAGTATAAAGTGCTTAATTTTCTCGGTGAACTTAATTTTTTTTCACATTTATAAAACATTATATAGGATAAATTGATCTTAATTTTTTTTTCGCGTTTATAAAACATTATATAGGATAAATCAATTTCGTATAAGTATTCATGTAAAGTATTAATTAAAAAAAGATGATCATTTCATTTTATCGTGAACGATTCTGATTGGCCAGGTCACACATAGATGATCACAGAACATTATGTAAGCTGATGCGCAAATATCATATTTTACCATATAGACCACTCCTATTATAGAAGACCCCTAATATAATAGACCTGGGTCTGTTACTTAGATATGAAATAAGGTAAAAAGTAAGAGACCCAAGTCTATTGTATAGTTAGAAATTGACTAATTAGATTTAAATACCTATAAGCCAATCAATTATCGAGATATTATAATTAAGAGTTATTAAAGTTTTTATAGTTATTAAAATATCTGAAGAATTACTTCAAAAGAATAAAAATAATTACAATAATTTATTAATAAAAATTAAAATTTTAATTTTAAAAATCTAAACTATTGTTTATTTAGTTAATTTATTTAAATTACTTGCTATGTATAAAAAATAAAATTTGTGTAATTGTTTGCAAACCTAATAGGAGTGTTTTTTTTAAATTGTATAAATAGATTTTTTGATAAGGTTAATTTTACTTTTTTTTAATCTTTACTACACTTTATTGAAATATTTGTATTTAAATCGAAAAACTAGAAGCTTCTAATTTTAATATATACTACTGAATATAGCTTTTTTAAATGTTTAATCCCAAGGATTTATATACTTAGCTATTTCTTTATCATAATAATCAACAAATTCATCTTCATTTTCAAATTCATCATCTAAAATAATTGCTTTATCAGCATCAGTTATAGATTCATCATCCAAAATAATTGCTTCATTAGCATCAGTTGTAAGCTCTTGATCTAATGAACTTTCAGGAGTAATATAAGGCA